TAGGCAGTATTTCCCAGCTATCAAAAAAATGAAAATAGGCAAACTTTCAAAAGCATTTGAGGCTGATTTTCAGAAAAGTATTGCCAATTTTCATGGTAAAAAGCGCCTTTTAAGAGCACATAATGCCCAGCCACACATACACATGCTCACACACACACTGCTTGTATACCCTTACTAGTTATTAAAATTCAAATTACTTGACTCTCCCAAATAGGATAAAATATTTTCACTGTTTTCTCATAATCTCAAAATGAGAATTCTATGGTGAGGGAGAACATATTTTAAGGGGCCTCAGTCCATTGTTTTTTGGCGTTTAAAATTTTGTCACCCTCATAGTCCTTTATGGCAGAGTTATCAGTAATAAAACAATGCAGTGCATGACAATGAAGGAACATCAAATCAATGGGTATGCAGCTCACACGCTGATTTAAACAGTTGCTGATTGGAATAAATGGCTTTAATATGTACTTATTTGCCAACTAGCTTTTCTGTCATTTATAGGCATGGCGCATGAATAATCTAAGAATGATACCAACCTACAACTTTAATGAGATACTAATGTGAATCGTTTTTTAAAGTCTGTATTATGAAATATTAGGAAACACACATGCTAAATAGAAATTTGTCCTCGACCCCAAGGGCTTTATGCTAATCGCCATCGTGAAGAATATGTCTACATTTTATTGTGTACTCATTTGATTGAATTATCCCCTTTTAAGGATGGGCCCCTAAGATTTTATTGTTGTAATTAAACTGAGAAATATTTCCAGCATTCTGGATTCTGTTATTTGCCTATATCTCAGCTATACCCAAGAGTCACTTCATGGCCCACTGAAAATACTGCACTACTTAATATGCTCCAAGCAAGCAGTGTCGACAGCAGAAACAGTGTGGATAATTCAAAACTAGACACATCAGCAACTATGGACAAACCCTTGTATTTCCCCTGGTGAGTTGCCTAAAGTAGACATAACCAACTTGGTTTGCCTTGTTTCTTGTCTGCATTTTGGAGAATCAGCTTAATGGTGAGGAAAGCAAATTTGGAATTTGTCCTAGTCCATGAAGACCTCCGAATATCCCAGTTCCTCGCCAAAGAAGGCACATGTCACCCTGCAACCTTCTTTTTAATGAGCAACCTTCTCTGGGACTACTTCTCAGCAGAGGTTTTACATCACTGACTGACACGACCTCTTCTGTTCTTTGATTTTTCAAGCTCCTTGTAAACTTTCTTGGTTTTATCCCCCAGTTAATATCTTGCCATTTGTTTTCCGAACGTCGGGTTTTAAGACGAGGTTAGAGCAGTTCAAGCCATAGAATTTTCTTTGGTCTACATAAGGTGCACTCAATTGATGAGCCTGTGTCAACAGATTTATATTTCAAGCAAGGTTTCGCCCTTTAAATGTTGGATGTAGTGTTCCATCTTTTTTTATTTAGTTTTTCCCACTCAAGAAAATCCAAAACTAGATGATGTGCCTAGGCTACCATACATGGGCACACAGTTCTGGTCCTGGTGAGTTTTAAATATAGCTTATATATTAAGTGTATGGACTTTGGCCTCAAGCCATCTGCTTGGAATTCTGGCTTTATGACTTGCCAGCATTTTGACCTTGAGAAAGTTATTTAATTTCCTGTGCTCCAGTTTCTTCATTTGTGAAATCAGGAAAATAATAACAGTACCTATTATTCCAAAGGGTGGTGAAAATTAAATCAGGTCACTTATGTCAAAGGCTTAGCACAGTCTTTAGCATGTGGTAGCCATCAGCAAATAGTAGATGTTGTCCATTTCATTTTAATGGATGGGTTGGTAAGGAAACAGGAATGCATGGGCAAAGAAGGCAGGATTTGTAAATGCAGTTTTGCTCAAATTGTTACTGTCTCCAAAAGTGGGTTCTTTGTTGGTCAGAATTTCTTCTAACGCCGCAAACCCATGCACACCTCCATTATAAGTCCATGTATTCAGTTACTCAGCAGATACTAAGAATCCCTTTCGTGGCAGGCAGTAGGAATACAGTGACTGGCACAGCCACGGAGTTCACATTCCTCCTGGGCTGTCACGTGTGTCTGCCCATCAATAGGCTTAGATTGCCGTGGGCTCTCTTAACTGAAGTGAACTGGTCACGGCTAGTTCTTGATCCTTTTCTTCCCTTTTCCCATTTATCCTGGTGTTCATTCTCCTCGATTCATCAAGGAGCAATACTGGGGTGGGGGTGCTGGGCAGGGGTGGCTAGATAAAACGACGGCCCATAATTGGCAGACCAGCAGATGAGACAACCTGTGGGTAGGATTTCCAGAAAGATGCTGTTCCTCCCCCATTCCACAGTTGGGGGTTAAAATGGCACAAGAAGACACTGTAAGTCCATGAGCAAGGCCCCGCCCAAAAGGGCCCTAGAATGCAGGTGCCCTCTCCAGGACACAGACTGGAGCGCGTCCGTCTGTGTCCTCTCCCACCCATCTTCATCAGAACACCAAGGGGAGGTGTGTTTAACAGCCTAGCAAAATGAAAAAAAGCTTTAAACTAACTAGTGGTGCCTTAATTAAAGAAAATTAATGACAGTGATATGAATGTAGCCCATTTGTAGGTCTAGTACTCATTCTTACATCTTTTTTCTATAAAAAAATAAGCTTATTAGGTCTAAATAAGGATGCCTTACCTTTAGTGTCAATTAAAACACATTAATTTTCAAAATATTTGTTTTTGCAACTTAACTGCCATTTTAGCAATTGTTAGATATGTTGATTTTTCAATCTCTGGCATTTTTTTACAATGATTGTTCCTAGCACTCCTTGCAACATGCCTGTAATTTTCTATTTCCTAAGTCTTATACAGTGATGCTTTTATTGTTTCAGTTATTATTTTTAATACTTATTTGAACCTCATGTTTCAGCATCTCCTTGTAACTTCATTATTTCAAACAAAGCAATCATATTGTCAGAATTTCACTCTTGAAAGTCAAAATATAGATGGTTGTTTTTCCCTCTTTCTCTCTTATTTTTAAACTCTTAGCCTCGTAATTATTCCCTGTCGCATAAAACGCAAAGAACAAACCTTGGTATGTTTTTCTCCTTATGAGCATTATTCCTATGGTTGGTTTTTAACTTTTGCAAATCTGTGTTAACTAGTTTTAATATTTAAAGTGCCGTGTAAATTTTGATCTTCTGTGTCCTTTCAGTGTGTTTCCTAATTTCAGCTCCACTTTTGACCACGTGATCTGCTTCTACCCATAATCCATCCACAATTTTACATAGTCGATCGTTTGCAAAAATAATGAAGTCAACTGGCTTAGAAATAGTTCAGTCTTCCTTTAAAATACTAATCTAGATCAGAACTGATTACGCTCTTTATTTTGGCTGTGCTAACTAAAGTGAGCCTGATACTAAAGCAAAACTTACTCTCCAACTCTGATCAGTGTTACTAATTTTTATAAACTAAGAATCCCCCCAGAAATACCGCCCTCTCTGGATCAGGAATCCCAGAATTTTTAACAGCACTTTGTCTGTGTTCAAATCATCTGTCAAGCTGTAATGGGACACCTAGATGATCTAATGTTTAGAAGAAGTTACTAAGAAATTACATAAATAATGATGTGTAGTAATATGTTTTTATTTCAGTGTTTGAAAATGGGATATTTTTAATAACTTATCATTCCAGAGGAGTGTCTAATACTGTTTCGTCTTCCCCTTAATTTCCCCTGCAATATATTGTCAATTAGCTATAAGCAGGCTTGTTTTTAAATGCGATTCAGAAGCCTCTAATGGAATCCTGTGGCAAAGTGAAGAATCCTTTTATAGACACAGTACAGATGTGTCAAAACCACTTACGGCTTTGTTTACACACACGACAGAGCTACCAGACCTGCGTGGCCGGGCTGGGAGTTCGAGTTTAAATCATCCTGTTAAGAGTTCCGCTACCACTTGCGATGTCACTAATGAAAAATAATCAACATGAGCATCTTTGAAAAGCAATTTTAGATCATTAAAGATGTATGAATTTTGACAAAGCAACAAGATTTGAGGCTTATTAAGAATATATTAGGTCTCTCCATTGAGTGAAAGGAGAGGGATTTATGCGTCGGTTTGGGGGAGAGGGGCATCCTCGGGGCCTCATGAAAGATTAAGTGGGCAGGTACAGTAAGCCTCCTTCATCCCGACCGTTCCCGCAAAGCTTGGAGGAGACCCAGCCCTATTCCAGGATGCAGAGACAGGGTCTTGAAGGACAGGCTGTTTCCTAGCAGAGCACACGTGGGGGCAGTGGCGGGTGGTCGCCGCGGCCCCTGGCTCTTCGCTTCCTGCAGCCCCTCGACCGCCCTTTGCATCACCTAGCGATAGGCAGGTTGTGCTACAGATGCACAGCTTTCTTCTTTCATCCCTTTGTTTCTTTTCTGCTTAGTAACCATTAAAGTCAGATCATTTGTAAATATGCAAGTAACTCAAGAGAAAAGATGAAAGACCCAGATGTCAGGGGCTTGATCTCTCCGGCTGAAGAGCAGCGTCAGATGCCAGGGGACATGCTTGCTCAGGGCTTCTGGGTCGACCTTCGCCCGCCAGTGTGCCGTTGACCTTCTCCCCGGCCCCGGCCGCCCTTAGGAACTACTCTGTTAAAGACGGACTTTCCATGACTGTCTCTCCCCGCAAATGATCTCACTGTAAACTTCCAAAATATTTTTTAGTAATAAAGAATGATCCTATTTGTTCTTATTTAGTTATGAAAGTATGATCGGCAGAAACACCAGGGTGGGTGCGTTCCAAGCGATCTGGAAAAGGTAGTGTTAGCTTGCATCCTTTTCTTGAAAATGCTGAGTATTTCCTGGAATCATGACTACATTTGCTAAAATGTGAATATGTTGCATTTTTAGAAGGTATGAAGTGCATCTCTGTCATGTGATGTGAGTCTCATGTCAGCCGCAGCGACTCAATTTGCATGTAAATTCTGAAATTTTCCTTGTCCCATGTGACACTTCTGAAATGTCTGTCTGTTCTTTTTTCCTTTTTAATTTCTCAAGCTCACTATTTGGATAAGATAGTGAAAGGTACTGTATACTTGCTCTTTGTTGACATATCTCCATATTTATCTTATATAACCGTTGTATCAGATTGCACTAGGTATGAAAATGCACTGTTTTTCATGCAAATTTTTGTAATTGATAAATCAGGCTTACATATGTGATATGCCTTGGATTTAAAGTATTGAGACTTAAATGTCTGTGTCTCATTTTTATAATTTTGGGTTATCACAGATTTCATTCTTATGTAAAAGCATTAGTTTTCACTGGAACCCAAAACTGAAGATAACAGTACCTTTGCTGTTTTTTGTTGACGGTTTCTTTTCCTTTGCTCCAAATCTTCATTGTTGGCAGTTCAGCTAATGAGCTTTAAATTCTAAATTAAAGAATGACAAACCCTCACGCTCTTATCACAGAATAAGAACTTGTCTATCTAAAGAAGATTCTGGTTAACATACTTTGAGAGAAATCTCATTTACCCTCATACGGAAACTTCTTTGGCTTTTCCTACATGTTTCAAAAGAGTTGTGATATCATAATTTATGTTTTTTGATTTTCTAAAAAACACCGCAAAAACAAAACAGCGTGCATTCTCTCCCACACAAACAGGAACACTGCTCAACAGAAAACAGCAGATTCTAATGTCTTCAGTTGTAGAAATCGGTAGAAAATATTTTTTCAGAAGAGAAAAATTCCCTTTCCCTTTCTCCTCAGATCCCCTATTTTCTATTCCTTGTTTGTGCTTTCATTAGAATATGAAAATATTCATGGCAATATCCAGGCTTTCCGAGAACAACTCTTGTGTGCATGCAGTCCGCTGCTGTACCTCTTGGCCAGGGGTGGGGGGTGGGGGGGCAATTAAATCTTTCTTTTTTGTTATAAACAAAACAAAAAAATAGTATCCATAAGGAGAAGTCACCTCTCTGTATTGGCTAACCCATAAATACAGATGGTAATTGTCTGAAAGAAAAGCAGCAGCAAAATTAATTTCATCCTGACCTGTTGACATCGACAAGTATAATTTCATTCCACCCCGCCACAAGAGACTGTCAAAACCTTCTTCTTTCTGTTAACTCTGATCTTAAGAGACAGAACATCTCTTTGAGATATTTTTATTTCAAGTGTGATAGTGGAGGAGGGGAAGCCAATATATGAATAATTCTCTTAATACAGACTTAAAATAAACATCTTTAAACAGATTGCTCCATTAAATTTTGTCACCAAAATACGAGTAGCATTTCCATTCCAAGGAGCCGTGTCAGAACCCCCAGTTGCTCTCTCAAGCTATTTTCACGAGTACAGATTTTGTTCCAAATTATTAATCATCCCATCCAGAGAGATCTGATTACTCACCAACTAGTCTTGCAGTTTGAAAGCGGTGATCTCCTCGTCTCTGTCCGTGCCATACCACTCATAGACAAGACTTCCAGAATCTACCTGAGTATCATTCTCGTGAACAGGTCGTGTTGGCTGCATGCCAGATAGCATCTGTAGAAAGTGGCAAAAGTGGTTTATTTCTTTTTAATGTCATGTTAGACTGAAACAATTATAGATTTTGGATATATTAAATTATTTTAATTGTTTCCCAAATTTTCCCTCCTTGCCCATAAAAGCAGACAAGATAGGATATAAAGGTAACAGCATAAAAGCCTTAGGGAGATTGTCACACAATATCACTCTTCGCTCTGTCTTGAAGCACGTCACTACCGTGTTTTTGTTCAGTCTCTCGATGTTTTATTGTGGTCCTATGGTATTTCATTTTGTCCGTCCTAAGTAATCAAATATGCACAGCTACCACATTTAGTTGGAAATCCTGTCGGTCCTGTCCCATCGTATGCAGCCTGAATCCTAATGTTTGTTAGAATAGACGCTAAAGCTGCTTCACTATTTCCCGGGCTTTGCTTATTCTGTGAAAAGGAATGTACTCTGGCATAAAGTATAGTCATAACACCGGCCTATACTTTGTGCAATGATTTAATGCACTGTAATTTCACATGAATACACGGCAACTCTGAGGCCAGAGAAAATTAATGTTCTCTTCTGAACATCATTCATAGCCTCATACCCACGTTCATGCTTCCGAATTTCCAGGGAATTTTTTGAAGCAACAAGGTACTTTGGGAAGGCCTGTCCCATTGAGTGACAGGGAATGTTGACCACAGATGAAAAATCCACACCGGGGATTCTGAAATTCCCTAGCCGAGATGCTTTTTTACATCATTACAATCCACCTTGTTGCTTTGCTAAAGGAAAAAAATTGAAGTTAATTTTGTCTGGCCTGCAGCTATTTAGTGGATCTTGGCATATATTTGTGTCCTGCACAGGTAAGTGGTGTCTCAAGGGTCAGGCCAATCGCAGATGCCACTTGGATAAGAATTAGATTTCTCTCAGAAGGTGGCTGTTTTGATTCATGTGCAATTACAGTATCTGTGCTGTTGATAAAGGCCTGTTCCCACTAAGTGTCCCTTATCTGTTTATTCTAGCCGCAGAAACTTTCCATCCTCAAATCACTTGTGTTCTCCTTCTTTGTCTCTTTCCACAGAGGGCTGTCCGGGTCTGTGCAACAGCAATGGGAGATGTACCCTGGACCAGAACGGCTGGCATTGTGTTTGCCAGCCCGGGTGGAGAGGCGCGGGATGCGACGTAGCCATGGAGACCCTGTGCACAGATAGCAAGGACAATGAAGGAGGTAAGAAGCGCCAGCGCGCAGACGGCTGGGAGCCCGCGCCGGTGTGTCAGCTACTGCGAGTACAGTGATCCGCTGCCCAAAAAATGTGATACCCGTAGATTAGATTGATTGAAAAATGGATGAGTGCTGATAGAGAGGTTTTGCTCCCTGTTTTCCTGAAGCAAACGTGAGATTATCATCCTGAAGGGAGCAGGCTGCTAACCCAGCTCCTGCATAATGTACGCCTGGATCTCCAGGTGACCATCCACTCAGCCCCGAATTTAGGGCCCAGTGAATTGGGAGCGCTGAAGCAGTGTTTCCCTAACTAAGCATTCCAGAAGCCGCGAGGCATTTTCTGGGCCCTTCTGTTTGCTGCAAGGCATGGCGGGAAAGGCACAGCGTCCGGAAGCCGCGGCCATTGTCTTTCTGTGCGTCGTGCCAGGCCCTGCCCGGCGCAGAGGGGCTGCACGGCTGCCTCACCGCGGAGGGCGGCTGAGACGTCCCACCGGCTTCCCTCCCGCGAAACCGCGGACCCTGTGGAAGCCACGGTCCCCGTCGCCCCCCTGAGCGCTCCTCCAGGCCACGGGGCCGCGTCCAGCGGGCCACAGAGCTGCGTCCAGCGGGCCACAGAGCTGTGGTTCCTCTGTGCGACTGAGTCTCTAGGGGGATCTGGCTGCTCCTGGGCTCCGTGGCCCTGGGCCCGCGCGTCAGGATGCGTGTCCTCCGCACCCCACCCCACCCCCCTGCGCCTCGGTTCTGCCGCCCACTGGAACGCCCACAGGTGAGGCTGGAGGGAGAGTGTCTCGCTCGCCTGCTGCCTCCTGACCCTGCCGGTGAGAAGGGGGCAAAGAGGTAGCGAGGCGGGGGGAAACCAAAAGTAGGCTTATTTCTGTGCGCCCTGCGAGGTTCACCGATCCCACACAGAGTGGATGTGAGAGAAGTCCTGAGGGACTCCTCAGCGCTGAGGGAAGGGTAAGAGGCCCAGTTGAGGGACAAATGGCCAAGTGGAAATTGTTGACAAGGAACTGAGGACTTATTTTTCTCTCTGGGCTTGTGTTAACCGGCGGTGACAAACAGTGGTGACAGACAAGTCATGAGGTAATCGCTCCCCAGTATCTGCTTCTGCTTGGGGCAGCTGCGCCTTCCTGTGCCGATGGCCGGCTGGTGCCAGAGCCTGACACTGGCCGCCTTCACCTTCAGCTACTTCTCGTTTCAAACCCAGGGGTTTCAGAAAGGTCGGTGAGAGGATGTCTGTGAAGTGCCCACAGAGTAAGAGGCAGGTGGTATGCTCTAAGCAGCAGCTGTTACTATCCAGTTTTCAAAAGCGCTCATCTTGGTTAAGTGAACGTCATAGGAGGCTGTGAAAAGCTGAACAGCTTCTTTCGCCCTACATAGACTACTGGTCTTTAGGAACCCATCCGCCAGGAGACCCCCCCCACTCCCTCAAATCCCCCACTCCCTCCAACATACACACCACACAGCACACAAACACACCGTACACAGCACAGACACATACCACGCACCACTCAAACACACTGCATAACTATACAGACATGCACCACACATAGATACACACGCCACATACATATACCCTCCACACGCAAGTGCACACACTTGCACGCACACACATGCACACACATTGCCTGGGCCTACCTACGGTCATCCTCAAGCCAAATGTTATGGTGTCTCCTCTCCCTGCATTTCTCCCTCAGTTTCTAACAGATGTCTCGCTGTCTTCCCTGTTCTCATTCAACCTGGACCAGCAAGAAACTTGAGCCATGAACTCAAGCCATGAGCAGAGTCCCCATCTTTCTCCCCATAGATTCAGGAGTTCCCGGGCCCTCGGGCTTCTCCTGCCTGATGACGGACACTCTGTCACCCCAACTCTGCCAGCTGCTCTGCAGAAATGGCAGCTGATCCCGGATGGCATGTTCCTCATTACTTTACCTCAAGCCAAATGACCCCATTGTCTTCTGCCCGGGGAGGAGAGCTGGTGTCCTTTCCCGTGAGATTCTGAAGGACTCCACTGAGGAAGCTTCTCTCTAAGCAAGCAATCTGCAAGGCCTTGTCTGAGGAGAGGAATTTAGGGGCTAATCAACTCTTTAGTGTTGTTATCAGCTAAGGAGGTTTTTTCCTTTTCCTCAAAATTTATCAACTGTGAATTGGCCTGTTTCCCCTTTGTTTATTCTCATTAGCATGAAACTGCTATCTCTAGGCTTTTCTCTCCAAGGGGAAATTTGAGCTGATAGAGGCCCCTGCGGAGTCTACTTATCTCCTATAATTTGTATTCCTGTCCCTAACCTAATTCTGTTGATCTTCCAGGACGGAGTCACAGTATCCACCTAACTCTGCCCTAAGAGTGTAACCCTGTGCCTTATCCCCCCACAGCAGCCTTTGAGTCCCGAGGAGGCCAAGTGCAGGGAGACTGTATTTTCCACACCAAACCCCAGATCTCCACCCATCACCGGCAACTGCTCTTGTCACTCTGTGAGGGCAATGGAATGGAATGTTTGAAGTTAGGGCCCCAGAATTTCAGGTCTGTGACGGAGCCTGGTCCAGTGTAGGGAAGGATGTTACCTGAGCTTAGTGAATTAGCTACAGAATAGCTATGTCCTTTGACTTAATACATTAAAGAGGAAGGACAGGAGAAGAGGTAGAGTTAGCCCCATCAGGAATTAAACACATCATATAAACAACTACGAGCATTGTCTGAGCAACTTTGAAAAACACAATCTTGTGTTTTTTAAAAAATTATATATTATCCCCCAAACTGAAGAGACTATAAAGCCACAAATGGAAAAAGACTTAAATATTTTCTTTTTTATTTTATATATATATTTTTAACATTATTCTTCATTTTATACATTTTTCCATCTCGGTTGTCATCCCGTGGACTTCCCACCCCTTCACCCCTGTGCCATCACCACAGTCCTGTGTGTAGTCCCGCCCACTTTGATCCTGTTCCACTCTCCTCCTCCGTAGATGTCTCTGGTTTATAGTTGTTAGTTGATGTTCACTTTCACTTAATTAAAATAACCATTTTCCCTTCCTGATCCCTTACACTCCTGCTGAGAGCGAAACCATCGCATATTTTTCTTTTTCTTTCTCACTCACTTCACTAAGCATGATCTTTTCCAGGTCCATCCATGTCACCACAAATGGCATGAGTTTAAATATTTTCTCTTAGATGAAGCATCTTCTGCTCCTTCAAAGCATTCTTCCCAGTTTACCCTGGCTCTGCTAACCGTGCCCAAAGATGCAGCACCTGCATTTCACTAAACAGGTGTCCCCCTTTGCCTGTGGGGGACTCCCTGTCCCCTTTCTCTGCTCTGAAATGCCTGAAGAAAAGCAGCTCACAAGGATCTACTTGATGAGGGACAGGAAGAATGGATTCTCAATAAAATGCATTGGAAGAAATGACCTTTCCCTCCCTTCACACCTACACACGCACAAGAATGAGCCTCTTGTCCGGACGGTCTTGATTCCTTAAGGCCCAAGTAGACAGCTGTCAGGCCCAGGAGACACGGAGCTTTTCAGAACTTGTGGCCACCTTTTCCCCACTCTAGCAGCCCTGAAAAACAGGCCCCGTCTCTGTGGCATCGAGAAGGTGCCTGCCTGCCCTCTGCCCAGGTTCCCACACCCACACCCCGAGGAGCTGACTCAGGCTTTAGGAGCATGTCATCTGGACCAGGCAACTGACAGAACAGTAGATGTTCACATCACACGGAAAACCTGAAAACTAGTGGTCACGGGCCAGATAGTCGCAGCTGATATCTCCACGCAGGTAGGCAGACACGGGGAGCCACACACTCGGTCCTGGCCCAGTGGGGAGGCTTCCAGAGCATGTGAGCCGCGTGACGAGGCTTGGCTGTGCATAGTTCTTCAACTTCACCCTCAAGGTCAGCCTCCCTCTCCGTGCCCTGCTCATACCCCAGAGCTCACTCAGGTTGTGCAGTCGCTAAGATTGGAGAAAGACAGGCCTCGAAAGGAGAGCTGGTGGCTTTGAAGGCCCCAAGGGGGCTTCAGCCCGTGCCTGGATGATAGCCTCATGCCCTGATACCTCCTTTCATTCCTAATGGACACAAGGCCCCATCCCCTCACCCTGTCCTTGACCAGTAAACCCTTCCTTTTTTCAGAGATTGTATTCAGTTATTCTCATCAGGAAAGACTCTCTGGTTGCCAACAATAGAAATTCCACTGCTAAGCCTGAAAAAAGAAGCTATGGAAGCTACTATGAAAAGTTCAGACATGGATGTTCCTCGGTGTCTATTAAAAACGGAAATTCGCGGCCACCCATGGGCAGCCCTTGCTCTGCTGTGGTGGCACCAGGCTCGCCTGTCTCTCCTGCAAAGTGACCCCACTGCTCTGGTTGACAGCACACTAGCATGAGCACCCCAGGTCAAGGGGGACACGTTCGCTGGTGTTCTGTGAGGCCCGACCCTGACTCACTGGCTTGAATTGGGTCACTGTGCAAAGGGAAGGCGTAGCTGCTGCCAGGAGGCAGGAGTGTGGATCTGGGCAGCAGAAAGCAGGTGCCGCTGGAGACGGAGCACGGACTTCCCAGAGCAGGCCGTCCTAGTGTGGCCAGACCATGTACGCCGTGACTCCTCGTGATGCCTGTCTCACGCCCCAGGCATGCTGCCTGGCCCTCTCAGCGGGACCTTCTTCTCCTCTCTTCCTCTTCCCTTGTTGCGGAGTCACTGCCTTCTCGCTGGAGAACCAGAGAAGCAGTGCCCTCTGCACAAGGTTAGCAAGGCGGGCAGCCAGTTGCCCAGCTCACTTTCAGAAGCGTGTTAGCTTGTACCTATCGGCTGAGGCTTCCTTAACTTGGCACAGCCCGTCTACCGTGGGTCTTCTATGCAGGCATCGGAATGTAATTGCTAGCCAGAGGCAATCTTTGTGATGCTCCCGACACTCACTGGATGACTTCTCCAGATGCCATGCTCTCTGGCAGGCATTACCACATCCCATTTCTTCTCACCGGCAAGATCTAGTCACAGTGCCACATGCCGTTTGATCCC